AGCGTGAAATACAAACCTTCACTCAACATCTGATAGGCGTACAAAACAGCTGAAATAAATAGCTGCAGAATATTTTATCAGCATGCTACCGACCAGCAATGGACTGCAATCCTAGAACAGGCCATCAAAACTAAACAACACAGGACCAGAAATAAGAAGACAGATAAATTACAGGAGAAGTAAACTGATCAAACAGACCAAACTGATCTGCTACAAAGACAAGGACAACAACAAACCAGACTCATAGTTAAGAAACCTATCCAACAGACCACTTAAAAAAAACTGAAAAAGCTGCCCTAATAAGCGGACTAAACTTTTACCACAGAAATGCGAACAGAACAGACATAATGGCCGCGCTGGTAGCTACATTAAAAAAAAACAATGGACTCACGGATGAAACTCAAAAGGCCATTCAATAGACTATTATCACTGCATTGAACCAGGGGATGTTTGGAACACCTTAAAGAAATCATAGTGAAAAGCAGTCAAAGGATTCAAGAAAGACAGGAACATAATATTCCTACCAGCAGACAAAAGGGCGCATGACCATCATTATGAACAAACCAGACTACATTGAGAAAGCACAGACACTGCTTCCAGATAAATACACTTTTCAACAGGTAGAGAAAGACCCAACACCGCAGCTAGGAAATAGGATCACCCAAACATTGAGGAGGTGAAAGAATGCAGGACAAATAACCAAAACAGACTACATAAAATCAGACTCCAGAAGGCTTGAAGATCCCCTGCTTTTACGGACTCCTCAAAGTACACGAATCAGACATCCCACTACAACCCATTATCTCCCTATCCGGCACACTTCCATTCAAGCTTGTCAAGGACCTACAACAAAGACTGAAGCAGCTGGTCGATGGATCACGCCAATCCATCCACTGACCTCAGAAATTCCTAAATAATCTCAAGAACTTCAAAATCAACTGCGATGAAACTATGTTATCCTTTTACGTTACAACACTATTGACATTCGTTGACATCCCACTAGCCAAAGAAGCACTGGCCACATTACTAATGGAAGGCCGACTGACAGCTCCATCAGCAAGGATAACATACTAAGACTAATGGACCTATGCCTCACCACACACTTCACTTTTAATGGTCAAGTATAGAAACAGAATAATGGCATACCTATTGTGTCACCCATCTCAGGAGTTATTGCAGGCGCAGAGATGAAAAGATTGGAATGCATGACCCTCCTCCGCATACAGCCAAAACTGTGGATACGATACGTGGATCACGCATTTGTAATCATTAAATGCATTAAGTTACAAGAGACACACCACCTCATCAACAACATATTCACCGGGATCAATTTCACAACAGAAGAGTAAAGCAACAATCAACTTCCATTCTCAGATGCCAGTATAGAACAAATGATGAACGGGGAATTCCTGTTCAGAAATGCAAACCACACTGACTGAATCCTCAACTTCCATAGCAATCACCCCAATCTCCACAAACAAAACTATGTAAGGACACCATTCAAACAGGCCGCTACCTGCTGCTACACACCAGAACTTCGCATGAAGGACACAGAGTACCTATGCAAGCCCTTTGCAATCAATGTACACCCCACTAACTTGATCCACAGATGCCTTCTAGACAGACAACACCAAGAGTACACAACACGCCCTGATACACTGGCTGCACTCAAGTATGCAAAGAATAAATCGGAAATGACAACGAGACTCCTATGACATTACGAATCAGGATAGCACACAAACGCACAGCCACAGTATGACAAACACTCACAATAACTAGAGACCACATGCCCACAAAATGCAGGACCAATGTAGTGTACAAAATACCGTGCAAGGACTGCCAAAAACATTACAGAAAGGAAACAAGCCATCAGGATATACAAACACCAGTAGCAAAACAACATTACGAACTTTTGTTCATTTCAGTACACACACAGACAACGAAGGCCATCAATTTAACTGGGTCAATGTGACCAAGCTAGCTCAAGCACATGAATTCCTAAACACCTGGTTCTCCACAAATAATGCAATCAAAAAACATGTGGAATTGCAACCCATACACAAACCCTTGCAAACAAAGAACAGAAAATGTCTCAAAACACCGTATCATATAAGTACTAAGAGGAGTAGAACTGCATTGCTTTATCAGAAGCTGCACTGATGATGTTACCTAGCATGGTGACGAAATGTCTGAACTACAACCAGATAGCTCGGCGAGCAAGTCAACAACCTCACTCACAACTCGAGCTACACATTTTCGCAAGAGCCTTAAATCAACACTCCTCTCTGATCGCCAACTTCTGAAGTTTAAACTCTGTCTCTTTCTGCTTTTCTTTCTCTCTTTATTCTGCTAGTATCAACCTTCGTTTTCTTTGCCTTTGGTAAAGCTATGTTGTCTTTCTGCTTTTTCTTTGTTTTCAATCATCATTTGAACTGTTTCATTTCCTTTGCATGATCAAGCTTAATTTTCCATTGACTATTAGCCATTTCCAAAGTTTCTGATAATATTTCTGGCACTGGCAGGTGCCGCACGATTGCCACAACTATTTCCCCTTTCATCACTGACACAGGCATTTCCAGATTTAGCTCGTTCAAACATTCAGCAGAATTCACTTTGCTCACGCTCTCTAAAATTGTCGAAGTGACCTCTTCCGTGCCCAGAAAACTCTTAGTGACTCAAACCAACAGAATTCAACAGATATAAAACACTCTACCAATGACCATTGGGATGCCTTTTAGCCCAATAATCCTAAATCCAGCCTGGAATTAGAGATTTGATTCGAAGAAGTGCCCCAGACTTGTTAGGGACTAGATCAGCCCCCTTCCAAATATATTAATAATTTAGCCTAGCTACTATCTTTTAGCCAGGTACGGTGGAATGGAATGGCCTCTGGAAATCTAGCACATACATCCATTACAGTTGGCAAATAGTGATTCTTACTTTTGTTTTATGTACGGGTCCTATGCAATCAATTAAGACACTTGTGAAAGGTTCCTCAATTGCGGGAATGTGTATTATTGGGGGGGGGGTTTAATCTGGTGTAGATTTTCCATTTACCAGATGGTGGCAAAGTCGGTCACTTCAGCCAGAACTCATCTATTCCATGTGATCCTTTTTTGTTGTTGTTTTTTCTTCTTCTTTTTTGATTTGTCATTACTTTCTGCTCTTTACTCTTCTCAGCTTCAGGGACTTGGACCTCATTGGATCTGACCTCGTGGCCTCAGAACACCCAGCCTCCAACACAGCTGAATCGCTGCCTCACAGTCTACTCGTTTCTTGTTTTAAAGGTAAATGTCAGTTGCTGTGTCCCAAAATTAATTCGATTGCTCAAACTACTCGACATTAAAACAAATTAAAATTTATTCAAGCACTGCAGTTAAACTTAACAGAATAATAGATTTTTATTAGAAAACTACCAAACCTTTACTGTTCCAATATTCTAACATTCCATAAACACACCCTTGGAAAAATGCAAATTAAGCAAACAGAATTGGCAATGCAAGCAACCAACAGGGGAAACAAAACATCAGAGAAAATTCAGAGAGAAACTGTCGCAGCTGAGACAGATTCAATCCTGCAACAACTGCTGCTGAAAAAAATATCTAAAAATCAGTTTTTATTGAGACCTGGTCCACACATCCCAGCTGCTACTAATCTTACAGCTTCAAAAAGGAACTCAAAGCCTCACAAGCTCTTTGATTTGCTGGCTTTAAAACTAGGCAGATCAACCCCTGTGTGTTAAGACTTCTCTTTTTTTTAAAAAAAGACAACAGAACAAAATAAATTCCTATAGCCAAAACATTGTCGTAGTATCCTTAAATGCAAAACATACAACTGGAATTCCTCAATTCTAATCCTCTGGATAGTTTTGACCATAAGCTCTCAACATTGTTTTTAACATTTAATGCCACTGTCCTAATTTTGCCTGTGATTCTGGATAGTGCACAGTGGATTTGAATTGTTTTGCATCAAAGTTATACATAATGTGTTTGAAAAAAACTGTGATATACAATTTGACCTGGATCTGATTGTATCTCTGTCAGTATCCGTATCAAGTAAAATATTGGAGTAAACTTTTTAGCCATGGTACAGTGTAATGGAATGGCCTCTGGAAATTCAGCAGATACATTCATCATACATTCAGCCTCCAACCCAACCGATTCGCTGCCTTACGGACTCTCTTTTCTTAATTTAAGGGTAAATGTGCGTGCTGTGTCCCAGATCCAATTCAATTGTTCAATGTACTCGACATTAAACAAAATACAATTTAATCAAGCACTGGAGTTAAACTGAACAGAATAGATTTTTATTAGAAGACTACTAAACAGTAATTGTTCCAATATTCTAACATTCCCCATAAACACACCCTTGGAAAAATGCAAATTAAGAAAACAGAATTGTCTCAGAGGCAATGCAAGCAGCCAACAGTGGAAACAAAAAATCAGAGAAAATTCAGAGAGGAACTGTAACAGCTGAGACAGATGCAATCCTGCAACCTTTGCCGCTGAAAAAAAAATCTAGAACTCATTTTTCTTTGAGAGCTGGATCACACTCACCCCAGATGCTCCTAATCTTACAGATTCCAAAAGGAACTCAAAGTTTCGCAACCTCTTTGGTTTATTGGCTTTCAAAATGAACAGATTAGCGCATTTGTCTTAAGACTACTCTTTAAAAAAAGAGACAACAGAACAAAACAACCTCTTCTATCCACAACATCGTCGTAGTATCCCTAAATTCAAAGCTTACAAATGGAGTTCCTCAATTCCAATCCATGAATAGCCTTGACTGTAAGCCCTCAACATGGTTTTTAAGGTTTAATGCCACTCTCCTAATTTTCCCCGTGATTCTAGACAGTACACAATGGATTGAATTGTTTTGTCTTAAAGCTATACAGTTTTTTTTGTAAGAAATTAACTGTGATATATAATTTGACTTTGATTTGAATTTATCTCTGTCGGATTGCATGAATTAAAACATTGAAGTATGTTAAAGTTCTTTACTTGTTTCCTTTTGTTGTCATTTCTTTGCGCTCTTTTCGCTTCTTGGCTTCCCAGCTTCGGACCTCATTAGATCTGACCTCTCGACCTCAGAACACCCAGCCTCCAATTCCGCTGACTCACTTCCTCATGGCTCCGACCTTCCGGCCCCCTGCCTTGTGGCCCACAGACTCATTGCTTCAGAAATCCCATACTCCGAACTTGCATCCTTGGAACTGCCGGCCTCCAAACTCCCAGCCTCCACTCGGAGCCAATGAGGCCGTCTTCGGGCTGGCATTGTAGCTTCTCAGCCAAGCAAGAAGTCATGTGTGCCCGACATGGCAAGTAAGTAGTGACATATTCAATTTTTGCTGCATTGATTTGAATACGTGACACTAAAGCTAATTCTATTTATACTTCTACACGTCACGTACGGCATGCCTGGCAAAATTCCACCACATCCTTATGCAGTCCAGGCCATTTAAAACATGTTTTTTTTGTGTTTTAGCTTGAGTTTTCCTTACTCCTAAATGACCTCCTACTAGTCATTCGTCTGCTGCTGGCATCCTTTCTTGAACCCACTGGTAACAAAACTTGATGAAGTACTGCCAACTTCTGATCCACTTGAATATATGAGGATTTCCATTTCCTCATCAAGATGTAACATTCTGAGATACGATCAAACCTTTGTTTAGTGTATGTCTTTTAATGCAACTGCTTCAGTTTTCCATCTTTCTGCTGCAATTCAGTTAATTTCTGTGAAGTATAACACTCACTTGTTTTCTACTTGTTCTTGTTTACTTTTCTCGACCGTTTGATCAAACATAATCTCTGACAACTGAACTTCAACTTCTTTATCTTTATTCTTTGATTTCTCCTCCTGCTTCAGACTACGGATTTTTGACCTTGTTATCTCTGATTTAGGAAAAACCCCAGGATACACTTCTTGTAATACACCATTTGCCAGATTTTCCACTGCTTTTTTTTCCCCCACAGTAGGCATCTATACACCTGTATTGCAGTTATATAATGACCAAGGAAATATTGCATTCCTGGAATAGACAATTTATCTATTATTCCTACCACCTCTTATCCACGTTTGATTGTTATATAAGTATATAAGGACACTTCTTATCTCACCATGAATTCCATATTTTACGTCCTTTCCTGGCAATATTCCTCCTGAATAACATATCTCCTCATCTCTCACCATCAAAGATTGACACGGACTGGTATGTCTTAAAAATTAAGTTTCTTAACCTGTTCATCCGGGAATATACCTTATCCTTGCCAGTGAATTTCTTGAAGCTAACACTTTCTTTGTAACTGACCTGTGATGAAGTGATACATACTGGTGCAGCTTTTTAGCTTCCAATTTACTTTCATTTACTTTCATCAAAACTCACTGCTGTGTCCTCTTTTCTCACATCAGTCATTCCAGTGGTTTTTCTAAACCACCAACATGCGACTAGATGTGACCTACTTTATTGCAATGAAAATGCTTGAACTTCCCCACATAGGTTTCCTTTTCACCATCTCTTAAACTATCTATGTTGTCTTCGACGAGATACTGTTTTCCCTAACCACCTGAGGATTCCTCTTTTCCCCAAGTTCTGTCCCTCACAGATTGAAATTGGTCCAGGAAGCCAAACATTGATTTATGTACCAACTCGTAATCACCCTTCAGCTGGTATTAGCTCACATGCGCTTACGATGGCGTTTTTCACCTCATTATACTCCCCATATACCTTCTCTCATAGTGATATAAACAAGTCACTTGCCCTACCTACTAATTTTGTTTGGATCAACAATACCCACATGGTCACTGACCATTTCATTTGTTTAGCCCCTTTCTCAAATGAAATGAATGGGGCTTCTACATCCTTTTTGTCCGATTCAGGCAATGCTTGGAAATATTTAAATAGGTCCCCACCGGGCCTTTGGCTACAACAGCTTTGCTTGTTATCACTGTCCTCCTCACTAAGCCTCCCTGCTACATTTTCTTCTGCCCTCGAAAGTCGACCTCCCTCTCTAATCGCCAACTTCTGAAATTCAATCTCTTTCATTTTCGCCTTGTCATCTGGTAGGGCTTTCCATTCCTTTTATCTTTCCTCTGCTTTCAGTTGTAATTCAAACTGTTTAATTTGCATTTTCTCTTTCTTTTTATTCAGCCAGATGTATTCTTTCCTTTTCTATTTCTTCTGCCATGGCTACATTTTCTCCTTTTCTTTTTCATTGCCTCCCATTAAAGTTGTTTCGATTGATTTCAAGTTTAACCATTTGTGATGCCCTGGCTATGGTAATGCTGCATAACTGCACAATTATTTCCTTTTTTTTCTTTTACAGGCAAACAACTCGAACCAAATTTGTTTCTGCAGCTTCCAAAAGCTTTGCCTTATTCACTTATTTTAAAAAAATTTCCCGACGTGACCTCTTCCACCCCAGGAAACTCAGTGAGTGAACGAGTCATTACTACGACAGCCCTGTTTGAACTACCCGAATTCAAAAGCCAAATAGAAGACACAAACACTCGTTACCTTTGACTCCAATAATCCTAAACCAACCTGGAATTGGAGACTTTGATCCCCTAATTTGTGTCGACAAGGCTAAAGCTGCTAAATTGTTCTTACTTTAAAGGTATTGTAAGGTGTTGTGTTTCCATGCAATTTGAATGGTCAAGCTACAGGATTTAATGCAAAACACACTTTATTCATCCACCAAAGTTAAAATACACCAAAATAAATAAGAAATTGGAATAACTTGATTTTATTGTAAATCGTAACACAATAATGGATACAGTAACTGTTACTAATTAACTCTTCCAATTTAGGAAAATTCCATAAATAGACCCTTCTCAAAAGGCAAGTTTAGAAAACAGATTATCTCGCGTACAACTCCAGCAGCAGAAAGAGAATCCCAGATTTTGTCTGTAACTAAGAGAGCAAGAAAATAGCTTCCACTTCTTCAAGTCTCCAACAGAAAATATCCTAGTTCTGTTGGAACAAGAACACATCCATCCAGCCTCTCTCTATTCATCCAACCCTTTAAAAAATACGCAACCCTCACAAGCTGTTTACTCTAATGACTGATAGACTTCTCTGTACCTCAGCCTTAAAATATCTCTTCAAAAAAACAAGGAAAAAAATACCCCTTCTGAAGGCACAATTTCATCACATACTGGTGTAGGCAATTTGAACTTCACGTCTTCTCTACACCTTAACAAGTTCATGGCTAAGATACCTGTCTTGCATTGCAGCCTTTGCATTTCCGCTTCAGAGCAGACTTTCCAATCTACATCTGGGTCATTCGCAAATTTTACTCCAAAAATTTCGGGCCTTTAAACCTGAATATTTCACTCAACTGCAATATGTTTATGCCCTGCAGATTCAGTTTGTCCCTGATAAACTTTCAACACTATATTTAGTCTTTCTGCCTAAATCTGCCTTGCAAATATTCAAAGTCACTGTGTTCACGAAACTTTGCAAAAGTTACTTTCAACTCTCATGACCAGTACACAGAAAATATAAAATACCTCAGCACATTACTGAGTAAATAACAAAACACATAAAAAGTAATATAACAATTATTTCAAGGAATACATTTGTTGTCAGACTATAATACTGTCCACCAGGATTCTTTGACTTGTCAGCTGGCAACACCAAGACTTCAATTAGTAACACTACTCTCATGATTGCATCTTTTTTCAGGGATTTTTTTTCAATCCATTTCCAGACATAAAATTAGTTCTGGGATGGTGTGTGCACGCTAAAATTTACGAATTATGCAAAACATTTGTTCCATTAATCTAATACCTGAGTCTTTTATGTTAGTAATTCCACGGGCACTTATTTTTTTTTATTTTGGTAATGGTCACTGTGTTTCTTTTTTTAACTTGTCCCTTCTTTTGTATATTTTTCCAATATCATTGGAAGCGCTTCACTTTGGTTTATCCATGGAGCTAACCATCTGTCTAGAGGTAATTACATTCTTTTTGTTGAGGTTTCGAAAATTATTTGCACTTCTTTTTCAGAAAAGGGTGCTACCCAGACTTCGGATCCACGCATTTTGCACACTGATGACTACTTTCTTTCACTTTGATACCAATTTTACTTTTTCTCTTTTTTTTATTGTTAAGCACGCCTCTGCAAGTATTGATGTTCTTTCTTGTTGGATGATATCTACATTGTTTACTCTGAAATATCTGTGTAAATATCTGTGAATATTCATTGACGCAGTCCTTAAACCAATTTTCCAACGTAGTATAGATGAGTTTGTCGCCATACCCCTGAAACTGTCCTTAGGTGTGTTAAATATTAGCTGGAATCCAGACCTCTTAGTAATGTTGAATATAAAAGTCAATAATGCTATGATCCTTTCTTACTTGGAACATGTTCACTATTAGATCAAGTCACCCTATGCCATTGCATATTAGCACATTAAGTGTGTTCTATGTTCGTCTGCAGAACGTTTCTAGCAAAGGTGCTATCCAGATAACAATCTATGAACTCTTCATATATGCTGTCGTAGACCATTTCATTCTGCAACCCTTCATGTACATCTAAATCCATAAGGGCATTGCCTTACATTTCCGACAAGATTCAGCTATTTCTGTCTTAATATTCAGTCACACTGTGCAGTCTGTTTTAGTGGTACCGTAGAGCAGAAGTCTACACCTCTTCTTGCTTCTCTAATTTCAACCCTCTACTCAAAACTTTATTATGTTATAGTTTATTTAACTTTGATCAATCATCTAAATTATTCTATAACAATAGTTAGCAGAAGTATCCATCCAGCTTTTCTTAGCTCCTGTTGCTGTTTACATATTAGGAACTCTTCAATATTCAAGTCAAATTCTCTATTTTTCTGCACACATATCACTATAATTGTAATGTAATCATTTTTTTGTTTTTTTTTCCTCTATCAGTTGATTCACTTTCAGTTCAATATTCAGGATCATTTAGATATAGACTCATATCTTTCTTGCACAATTCTTTGAACTAACACCATGCTAAATTTATGTATTTTTCATTAATCTAACAAAATTCTTCAGTCGCTGTGGACCATATGTTGCAGAGCAATTGTGATCAATCTAAGTCTGGCA